CATGCTTCTGCCCGAAGACCTCCCTCCGGCCCAAAAAACCGGTTTCCGAGCAGACCCAAAAACGGTTTTTCTGACCGGGTAGAGAAATCTGTGATGCAATTTTTGCAACGCGAAACAGCGGCCAGAAAAACGGTTTTTGTGAGATTGGGCGGAGAAGTTTGTCATGCTTCTGCCCGAGCAACCTCCTCCTGGCTGAAAACCTGCTCCTTGCTCCCAAGCTTCAAATGCTACACGAATTCGACGCCAACACTTTGTTCCGAGTTTTGGTTCTGCATGGTAGACAGAGGAACGCAGGTTTCCGACGCTACACACGGACTGCCTCTACGCTAAATTCTATCGTCAGTCGTGCTTTAAACGGAAACGGCCGAAAGGCTTCAGCAACCCAACCGAACGTCCTGACACAAAATGAACCGAAGACAAACCGAGGTACCACCGTGCCACATTTCCATCTACTTGAAGTTCAACATCGTGAGACAGTTTGGCAGCGGCCATATCCTCATCATGTCAGCCAAGCAACAGAACGCAACAACGAAATCTCTCTGGCTTTGCTCGACGAGTAGCGTATGCATATTCTGCTACTTGTTACTAGCGCCACCTGTGACGATCCGCACCGAAAACAGATCGAGGCTCCAAATGTGAACCTACTACATCAACTTCCAATATTCAGAATTAAAAACGAGAGTCGACGGTCTTCCTGCTTGTTTGGCGCACTGATTCAGATTTTGTCTTCAAGGAGCTGCTGCCTTCATTTTCATAGATTTTCAGCATTAAGTGGTTGCTGGGGCTCACCTAGCAATAACTCTGAGAATAGAAGAAGAGTATTACGATCTAAACCTCGATATTCCGCCTTCAAGATGGTTTATTCGAATAACGGTTCTCTGCAGCTGGTGTTGCGTGTCCACAACGTTCGAGTTCTCTTTACTCCGTCCTGGCATATTTGGTAGAAAGGCAAAGTGGCTGTGGTATAGCTGTTTGGTTCTTGACGAGTCGGCAGCACTAAGTGTCCGGCTCAGTTGTTGTACTTATCACTCCGTATTTATCGTTACGAAAATGTAGTCCTAGCCTCCGTCGTGCGGCCGGCTATTTCATTTTTCTCTATCAAAGGAGGCGAGATTGACCGTCCTTGTACTTCTCCCTGTAGTTTTTAGATTCGAAGATGATCCAATCGAGAAAAAGCAGCTTGCTGCTTCTGAGGGGGTAACACCGCGGCGAGACATGCGGTTGGGGTAGGTCATTTGTTTCTCGGTGTTCCTCTTCGTCTGCAAGGGGTGGATGTGCGTTTTGCTGCGATGGGCTGTGATGGGGTGGTCGTCAGAGGTTGTGGTGCTGAAGCACACGGCTCGCTCGCGACGTAGTTGCTCCGTTTTTCCGGTTCTGAATGACTACGTAGACCAAAGAAGAATTCATTTTTCTGATCGTGAAATTCCTGGCTGCATTACTGTTTCGCAGCGCCACCAGCGCGCTTCGGGTACACTTTGTCCGTATCGGGAGGAACAAAAATCCCGGCTCCCCGTACTCGAAATACAGTTGCATGACATCACTTGCACAGCTGCGTACTTAATGCTCTATCGCTTGTGAAGTATCCAGCATGACAGATCGGGTGTACTTATGATATATTTCCGGCAACGGGAGGGGATCACTCGTCTCTTGGATATATCACCTGGTTCTTCAGCTTGTAGAACTTGTAGTGCGGGTGTTCATGGTCCACGTTTAAAATTTTTTCGTAATCTTCTTGCGTCTTCGGGTACTTCTTCAGGTCCTTGTCCGGTATGTTGTCCTCTTTCCTGCGGAGAAAGTTCTTGATGCCCACGATGTTGTCCTCGTAGCCGTCGTATCAAATGCAAATACGTCTGCGTCCAGAACCCGGTTTGAAAGATTGCGAGATTTATTCTACTCATGTTTGTCTGAGAAGAGACAGAGAGCGAAGTCTGTCATGCTGGTTGCACTACAGCCACAGCGCAATCTATCCGTCACCCAAAGACGTGACTTGTCAAGTGGCAATTTATGCTAGAAGCCGTAATCACGCAGCAACGCCTTGTCAACATAGGTGGGTTCTTTGTAGCGCATCATCCACGCTCTAGCATGATCACAGTTTTGTTCCAGACCCAGACAGATTTGCAACTCGTACGTTCTTGCGGGGGTCGAACAAATCGTCCAGCTGCTGCTTGTTCCAAGCCGTGTTCGCGCTCACTTAAGTATCCTGACTAAAAACCTTCTCACCCCATATTCAAGAGGACGCGGAATTCACTACGCAAACTCTCAGAGGCGGTGGTTGGAATTCACGTATCATGACGAAAGTTGTTCCAATAGGTAGCAGCTTGGCTAGTGCAGCGCATGGACTTATGCAGCTGATTACAGCATGACAACTCTTCAAATCCGTGCGTCACAGAAGTAGATTTGCGTGACACTAAAGATGGGGTGGGTAGTACGTTTTTACACAGCATATTCATTTTTCCCAGCCCTCGTTCCTATGGTTTTGAAGATAATCGCATCGTTCTCTGTCGTCCTGTCCTCCTCGGCTTTTTCTCGAGTGTACCTGTGCAGCAAGGCCCAGAGAGAAACCGCTTTGTCGTTTTTGGTGTAGAAGTTTCCCGGCGTACGACCGACGACAGCGCCACCTGCTCGCACCGGAGGATTCGCCTTGGCTTGATGCGGAACGGCCGGGACATATCCTGTCCAAAAACGTCCCAACCCCATAGCCAACTTGGGAAATCTGCGACACAAATCAACACACGGTAGCTGTTGCGCATGACAAGTTTGCCTTCACAATTTACTCCCCTTTGGCTAGTGCAGCAGCATCACATCAAATCTAATTTGTGATTATTGATTTTTTGAGCATCACAAATTTCCAAACAGCACTACAAAATGCGTCTCGTGGGGCTCCGAATGAGAGACTTTTCAACAGCATGCAGATTTGCATGACAGCTGTGGGGTCGGGGCGTTTTTACACAAGATAGGGCAGGTGGAGCGGCTTTTTGAGCGGCTGCTTTTGGAACAGCGGCTGCGTTTGGAACAACGGCTTCCTCTGGGGCGGCTTTATTCCCTTTCGAAGCGACAGGTCCGGTCGATTGAGGCTTCGGCACAGCAACTCCAGTGCCTTTTGTTCCTTTCTTCCCGCCGTTGTCCTCGCCTTTATCATTATTTCCACTTCCGGGTCCTTTTCCCTTGGTATGGTTCTGTTCCGCGGCTTGATGCGGTGCTGCTTTTGTGTGGATGCCCGTGGCTGATTCGCCTTTGCTCACATTTCCGCCGCCCTTTTGCGCTCCCCCGTTGTTCAAGCCGTACTTGGCATTATTTTGCGACACCACTCCTACAGCGGGATCACGATTTTTCCCACCTTTGCTCACAGGAGGCCCGCTGCCTTTCAATCCGTCCTTGTAGCTAACCAAGCCGCCCTTGATGTGCTGCGGCGCCGCTGGTGGTGGTACTGCAGGCTTCCCATCTTCTTTGGTACCACTCCCGCCGGCATTCAATCCGTTCGTGTCACCTAGTACCGAGCTGCCCTTGTGTAGTTGGGGTGCTGCGAGCACAACTGGATGGTTTTGAGGAGTTCCATCTTTGGTCCCACCGACTTGTTGGACTAACCCCTTCTTGTAGTTCACCAAATCGCCCTTGTGAAGATGTTGCGGTGCCGCTAGAAGTGGCACTTCTGCATGATTTTCGTGTTTGCTCCAACTCGCGGCGTTGTTTTTGTGTCCGCCATAATTGCCTTTTTCCGTTCCGCCGAGCACAACTGCATGATGTCCACCTTTACTCAACTGGAAAAATTCGCCGTTTTTGTTCCCGCCATTGTTACTTTTGCCGTGTGGCGGCTCGTCCGCTCCCTGTGGTAGTACTGCATTCCTCGTGAAACCGCCTACAACCAGAGTTGGGTCGCCATGTTGATGTGGGTCGCCATGTTGATGTGGGTCGCCATGTTGATGTTGCAGTACTGTGCCGCTCCGAAACATCCCTCCGAAGGGAAGCCCAACTTGAGGCACTTGTAGTTGCAGTTCCCAAGGAGGACGAGAAGCGCCGCCGGACTGCGATTTGTTCGTTGCTGTACCGAGCTGAAGAAGAGCTGCGGATGGCGGCGGACCACCCCTAGACTTCTGCACCGGAGGGCCAGACGTGGAAGCAGTTGGGCGGGGAACAAGAACATCGTCATCCAGTGGGGATCGCTTGTCAATCGTGCCTGATAGTAGAAGACGCTAGAATAAAAGCAACAACTTCACGCTTCGTCAATGCTGTGCAAAGAAAAATATATAAAACAAGACCATGACCATGCTGTGATCCATCATGTTCATGACAATCAAACCTCACCTCCAAAACCGCAAAACAAAAAATTTCACCCGGTAAAAAAATCAAAAGAAATACGTTTGTTCGACGAAGATGATTGCGCGTGGCTGCCGGTGCTGTTGTAGAATGCCATGGGGGGCTGCTTTGCTGGAGGCGGCAGATTATTTGCTGGTTCTGCGATTCCACGGTCCAATATCGCAGGAAAACAAAAAGCTGTTTTGGTGTGAGCTGCCAGGTTTATTGTTCATGTAGCTGCACGACCGCGGGTTCGCTCCAGCACATCGCGAAGCAAATAATTTGCAGAGCTGCGAACTTAGAAATTATCATCACAAAGAAATGAGAGAAACAGGGGGCAAAAACAAACGCCTCTCAGCTTTCAATTTCATGCGTACAAGGTATAGCGAGCTCCTTCCTGTTGCATCCTGAGCATCAATGCAGCTCCTATCCGCCAAAACAGTTTTTGGTGTGGATATTGGATCCTCTCGCGATCGCCTGCTGGTGGTGCGATGGGACCGAAATCCGGTTCTCGAGCGATCGAGCTGCTGCATTGAAATCGTAACTCCGGGTATGCATTGGAAATACGTCTGGGTCTGGAAAGTTGTGATGCTGATGTCCGAATCGTGGTACGCAACCTGTATTAAGGAGCCGCGCATGACAAGTTTCTGGACCGCATGACAAATGGCCTTTTTGCATGCCAAACAAATGGCACTGTAGCGAACCAAGGAGCATGACAGATTTTTTTGTCTTGTCGGCCAAGCATGAGAGACTTCCTTGCATTCTTCGAGACCCAGACATGTTTGCAGTGGATACCGGAACAACTTGAGCAACTGTGTGGCAAATTGGAAATCCGGCTGGCCGCTGCACAACCTCCTGAACGCCGCCAGTGGCTGCTCGGGCGTTTCTATGCATGGCAAATACGTGGTCGTGGCCTGGGTCTGGGAAGACGTGACGCTTGTGCGCGGATGACAAGCAACCTCCGCAGCTACGGCGCAACGCATGACAAGTTCCTGAGCGACAACGACGTCTAGTTGTAGCGGAAACCGTGTGAAGGTGAGAAAAAGAAAATGAATTTCATTTATCTGAATGACAAACAAATGGTAAGTGTGGTGCTGTGGTGCACAACTCATGACAGACTGCATCCTTCCAGACCACCTGAAAAACATATTTGCTAGGCATAACTTCTCCCATACTGGCAGCAATTTCGTGTAAGTCGAGCATCAACATGTGAAGGTTAGCCTTAGCGCCGCTGATCAGTTCGGTCTCGCGCTGCAGGGCAAGGAGGGAGTTGGCCCGCCGCGGGTTCGTGTTTGTCCGTACTTGATCTTGCCTCTGTTGCGGCCGGCTGTTGACGTTTAGCATGTTCGCTTGCTGCAGCTGTTCTCCGGAAGGGTGGTGTTTGTATGGGAAAGAAAAGGGGGAACATGTTGCATCCTCTGGTCCCATAGTCAAGTTGTTAATAGATGTGCTCTGCGAGGATGCATGATTTTACTACAAGATATGCTCTGAAATTTCCACGCCGATACAGCTCTCGCTTTCGCACTCATTTGCAACACAAATTTGAATTCTCTTTAGCAAATCTGGCATCACAATGTGATCTTCACATCACATCTTCCATTGAGTATGGGAGGGGAGCTTTGGTTTCGTTTCTCTGATAGCTGGTGGCGGCCCGCCTCGGAAAGAGCCGTCCGGGTAGTTTGACTGATGGTTCCTCCGGTGGTGGGGTCAAAAGAGGAAGAAGACGATGAAACTTCACCAAGCATTGCTTGTCTCCTCGACCCGGCTTCTACTTCACCATAATCGCACAGAAAAAAGAACAGTTGTATCAATCTGACCGCCTTCTTTTTGCGATGCAAAATCATAAAGTCCTGGTGCTGGCGGGTTCAATATGGCCCGCTTTCTCATTCGATGCGGAACATGCAAAACACTAAAAGTAGTGTTTCTTTTCAGACAATCTATTATTTGCTGTGCAGAGCAGGTGGAGGTAATTTTTGCATAGCAAATCTGTGGTACAACTACCAAGATTTTTCTGCGTACTGCTCTACGCTCGGCGTCGCTCGGGGTGGCGGTGCTTTCCCCGCTCGCTGCGCAGGAATGAAGGGAGGCACTTCGGATGCGGCCTTGGACGTTGTGAAGGGAGGCGCTCGACGACCGTTGATTTCCTGTTGCTGTGACGAGGGGAGAAGTGGATGCCCGAGCGCGTCCAATTGCGAGGCCTGCTGTTGTTGGGCAGGAGCCGCAGGGGCCGCAGTGGTAGTAGTGCCGCCGCCGGTCGACGCGCGCCGGGCCGGACTTCCGCAGGCACGATCCTGGGCTGCTTGTTTCCTTTTTTTGAGGTATTCCTCAGATTTCTCCATGTGAAGCTGGACTTTTGCCGCCTTTTATGAGAGTGCACAACTCCCCCTCGTCCCCCTCATTTGTGTATCATGAACAGCACACGTGTATGCTGTGCATGACAGGCTTTTGCACGAATTGTAGTTCTATTTGGGCTTCCGCTTCCAGAATGTGTCATGCAAACAGTGCTACGAGGCAGCATCACAGCTGGATTTTTTTTGATTTTGCATGACAAATGAGGCGGAGGGGGAGTTGTGCGCTGTAATACCTCAGAGTCGAACATAAGTTGCTGCAACAGCTGCTGTATGCATTGCAAATATGCAGTCTGGGTCTGGAAGTTTGTCATGCACGATTGCACATAAGCATGATCCGCGCCGCTTTTGTTTGTACTGCATGCTCTAGCATCAGCATCACACCTTTCGCACAGGCTTGCTCATGCCTATCCCACATCAGAAATGCGTTCTCGGGTGGCAAAAATCCAAGCACCTTTTCCTGCTCATGCAATACAAGTTTTTGGAGCATAGAGAGTTTAAGCATCACAACTCCCATTCTTTCCAGACACAAGGACATATCTGCAATGCATATTCTCCTCCAGCGAGGCTGCATCTGCGTTCACTACTCTCCCTACCCCGAAGTCGAAAAGCACCAGCTCGTGGACGCTGTCTTGCGAAGTTGTTGTATCCGCCTGTTGTATAATATCCTGTGAAAGAACTACAGTATCGTACTCGCTGTATTAATCGCAATAGAATACTGCATGACAGATCTTCTACGTGTGTACAATATTCAGCATTACAAACTCCATTTTGGATGCTAGGAAATATTGTCTATGCAATTTCTGTTAGTACGATACTGTTACTTTCTTTTGCAGTGCATACTGCGAAATAACTCGTCGCAGGCCGATGTTCCGAAAAAAAACGTCCTCGTGCACGAAGTCGACTTCGGAGTACAACTCCGGTATCCTCTGTAAGAACGTCCCCACGACCCCCGAGTCGAGACGGGGGGAACTCTGCCATACAAGTCCGGCAGTGTAGTTGGGAGTCACGCATGACAAGCTTCTCGCTGTACTGTAGTGCAGGTTAGAAAGGACAGCCGCATGAAGAAGCCATCTCCCTATCCTGTTTGCGGCATTACAATAAAGGCCAGAACACAATTAGAAATGCCTCTCTTGGCTTCTACGCACGCGCATTACAAGCGTTCCTGTGTTGAGTGCAGATCTGCATTACAGCTCTGGGGTGGGGACGTTTTTACACGGGATATCCGGTAGTGCTTCTTCTGCCAGCCACTTCCTGACCTTTGCTGGCTTTACCAAGCCGAGGATCTGGGCGCCGCACGCCTCCAGCCTCTCCATTGAAATCACAGCGAAGCAGCCGAAGTTCTCGGAAAAATCAGAGATGGCGACGTCCCGCGGAAAATTTTTGCTCCCCAGTGCGGCGGCCTTCTGCGTGACGACTAGTTCTTGCGCACCGCAGGGCGGCAGCGGACAGGGAGTGTTCTTTTTGACGTAGCGCTCCGCGGCGTTTCGCATTGCAGCACGGATTTCTGGCAAAGTCTGTGCGGTTTGCATTATCACAATGAAAAATCCCCCCTCCCCATACCAAAACGCAGATCTGTGTAGCAGGATTTGGGCGGCCCACAAATCATGTTGTCATGCTAGAACAAGGTAGTCCTCGCAGCTGGCGACGTGGGAAGGCCTTGCATCTTCAGTCGATGTTGACAGGAGGCAATTGGAAGTGGGAAACAGCATGAGAAAGTGCCTGCAATCAAGGCCGCAACTACGTCTCTTGGCCTTCTAGCAACACAAGCCGATTCCGATTTGTGTACGCAAATCCAATTGCATCACAAATTTCCACCTTTCCGAGTATATGGGGAGGGGGGATTTTTCTTCACAATATCCATCGCCGCCCGCGCCTCGTCGTCACCCGGGAAATGCCAGGAGAAGTTGTCTGCTTTATGGTCAGGAAAAATTCCCCCTCCCCTCATGCACCAGCAGGAAATTTGTCATGCTATTTCAGGCAAGAGAGCAACAGTTGTTGGCTCGCATCGTGCTGAACAAAGCACAATGCGAAAGCCCCTTTGACGTTACAGCTTGGTCGCTGGTGAAGATCTTCACGAGCAAAAACTTTGCAAGAGGGTGGCGCTGTCTTTCTTGTCGTGTTGTATCTGGGGGGGGCTTCGTGTTTCACTTTGATACGCCTGCACTTCGGGCGGTGGCAGGCGAAAACTGTCTTTCCCCGTCGCAGGATCCGGGCCGACCTTGGCCGGCTTCGCCAACCACGTGACCTCGCCCTGTCCCACGTGGCTGGCGAAACCGGCCGCGAAGAGGTACTTCTCCGCCCGGTATCCACTGCAAACATGGGTCTGTCTGGGTCTGGAAACTTGTGTTGCTGACATTTGCATTACAGACTGCCTCATGCTGTGATGCCGTACAGGCAGCCTGCCTGTACGGCATTACAGCATGAGATGAAGTTATTTCCCTCAGCTTCCTGCGGATTCCTACTTCGTATTTAGCATTACAAACTGCCATCCAGCAGCACGATAAAAAAAGAAAAACTGGCCAAGAATCGTACTCATGCATTACAGATTCAGATCTTGATGTCCTCATTTAACTACAACTGCTCGTCCCGCATCACAAATTATCCAGAGGACCCAGACATACTCATTTATTTGCAAGGCATACCCGTCCACTTTCCACATCATAAAACACCACGCGCGAGGGTGTGTTCAGCTTGTCGACTATTTCCCATTCTCCAATATGGATTGCAAAAATGTCTGGGTCTGGAAGATGGTCAGTTTTGTCATGCAGGTTTTCCATGGCCCATGAGGTCTGGTATGTAGGACATAGCATGACAGATTCTGCGAGACCTTTCCAATGCCTATCCTGCATGAGAAACTGCCTCTCGATTAGGTCAAAAGTGCACAACTTTATTTGGCAATCACGCAACACAGTATTTTGCCTGATTCAGATTTAGCATGACAAGTTCCATCCTGCTCCCAGACGCAGACATTTCTACATTTGATATCCAAGGTATTGCGACGTCGTCCCCGGTTCTTCCCGGAGGGTCCGTTCCTTCCTGAACGGGTAGGTCGCGGGAGTGACGTGGAACCCGATCCGCTCGGGCGGTCTCTCTGGCTCCTGCGTACTATGGGGGTGTCATGCTCGAAGTAGTCGTCAAAGATGAAATTATAGTTTGTCATGCATAAAAGTAAAAGGCGACGCAAGAAGTGCCTCTGTTGCACAGGACGCAAGGGAGGCAGATTGTAGTGCTGACAAGGGTCGAGCGTTGGGCGGCTGATTAGCATGACAGAGGAGAGCCCTTTTGTCCCAAACACAATGACATACTTGCTTTAGAGGAAATTTGTCATGCGCCGACTCTAAACAGAAATGGTATCAGTTTTATGCATTACAAATTTTCTCATCTTTGTTGATTTCGATCCTGACACCCCCATAATGCGACCCCGACATGAATTCGTTTTTCTTCTTGGTTTTCGTTTTATCTCACTTCAAATCTTCTACTTAGGTGTTGAAAATGTTGAAATCGCTTGTCTCACAAAAAAACCATACTCAGTTACTGTGATCTGCTCCTGCTATTATACACTTTTGAGTGGATGGTGCACAGATTAAAATTTTGAAAAATTGCCAACAAGATGAAGCTACTGTACCGGATTATACGCAAAATCAACATTTTGCTGTTCGCTGAATCAATCAAGCCCTTCATGCCTACGAGTCGTCGAACAACAATAAAGTGCTCATCTTCAAATATTTCTACAAGGCTGCGGGGGGGGTAACACTCACACAGCAACTCGAAGCAACTATTTAACATTTTCTGTAGGACCTCGCATTCGCTCGCATTCTCTCGCCCCCGTCGAATATATCATAATAGGACTCCCAAATTTGACTACAACAAAAGCAAACTCGAATTGTACGAATTAAAACAAAAACCGACGCCTCCCGACGACACGACTGACACGTCTATTGCCCCACGGATTTATCTAAGCGCAACGTCGGAAATGTTTCTGAATTATAAATTTGGTTCGGCAAAAAATATCAACGAGAACCGACGCATCTTTTGTTTTTAGGAGAACCAAAAGAGACTGACCACGTACGACCCAACAACGAGTTCGTCCTTGCTGTGACGACCATCCTCGTTCCACGTTTGATTTTCAGAAAAACCTAGTATACAGTTGTTCATTCATCATCTGGAAGTCTTGGTGCAGCCGCTATTCTGTACAGTACGTTTCTTACGAAGCGGCAAAGCTATTTCTATTTATTCATTGCTGAACAAAAAACTGGCATTTTGTATATTACGATCGTTTGATTAATTTTGATGCAACTAGTACGACCCCTTCGTGCGAACAGAAATTCGTGATTGAGAAAATTTGTTGTAATAGTCTGAAACAGAAAGAGAAACCGAAACTGTGAATGCGTGAAAGCGCACTAGAACGAAACATTTTGAAACGTGTGTTTGTAGAAGTGATAGGATTACTGACTCAAGCCAATATAAATCTTCGATTGCAGTTGAAATTGTACGACTCGTCTGGCGAAACCTTCGATTGATTCTTGTGCGAAAACGTTCCTGTACAAAAAATCTGACTTCGAAAGCCGACAATATTCTGTGTAGTAAGAGAAAACTGTTGCCTGCTGAAGTAAACATAAATGCTTTGTAGTACAGCGTACCTGTTTGTTTTACGCGTAGGCACTTGTTACGTACCCAAATTAATTCCGTCTCACTGCACGTCGGCCCCTCCGCTCCCCCTACAGCTCCGAATGCGCCCGTGATGAGCGTGTTGTGGTGCAGCTCGTTGAAGATAGGTGTCGAACTAACTGGCCCTCCATGATCAGCCATAGTGATTTTTGGTGTCGATGCAGTTCCAGGCTTTGATGTGTTTCAGCCACTTCTTCTAGCTGCTGTCCTCATCACATCTCCGATCCAGCAAGAAGAAAACTTCAGTTGCACTGCTGCTGCTACTACTGCTCAGGATGATTGATGCAGTTCTTGCGTGGGAGTAAGTAACCGGATCGTCCTTTCTACCAGTAGCTAGATGTCGTCAAGGAGAAGTAGTAGGAGTAGATGTTCATCATGGATCAACAGCAAATACGTCTCTGTCTGGCAGACTATGCGTTTTTGTCATGCATCTTGTGGACCACAGCCACACAGATGGCCTGGAATGCAAAAGAAACATCTTCACAGACTTTGCGAGAGATAAGTATGGCATTCCGCATGCCCATCCCGCATGAGAGATGAGTCGCCCTTTCCGTAGCAAAATAAGTTGACAACTTTCTCGGTGCTCATGAAACGCAGATATTTTCATTGCGATGCAGATTTAGCATGACAAGTTGCACTCTTCCCGACCCAGACATACTTGCAAGAGATAATATGTTCCTGGCTGCATCATCATCTTCGATTCGCGACCGTGTGGTAGTTCCTCGACGTTGTCCTGCTGCAGTAGCTGCTTTATTTGTAGAGAACCACGACGCACCACAAGCACGACTACAGGGTTCATCTCGCCAGCAGTGCTTCATCTGCGCGGATGAGGAGGGTCGCACACCATGACGACGACCTAATTTTGGTGCAGAGAAATGCTGCTATCGCTATGCAGGAGTGGTACAAGAGAAGCACGGGTTGTGCAACATCATCACTCATCGAAGGTATTTCTCAAGCCAACAGCGCACACAAAAAATACGTCTCAACCCCGGCGCCACGATTTTCGCTTCTTCGTAAAAAGGCCCTCTGGTGTTGCTTTCGTTTTTGTCTGACAATAGTGTCAGTGTGCCTGCTTACGTGGATATCCCCTCGTCCGGCGGTGGCGACCTTCGTTTTGTCAGGGAAATTGAATATTAAATGTTGCTTAGAAGGGGGGGGGGTTGCAAAGCAAGAACATTACCATCGTCGATCATGATGACAAGCGGCTCCCACCTTACCGTTTCTACTACAACACAAAAAAAATACCTGATTGTTCGACTGTTTGAAAAATCTACACTTCCGGCTGCTGCAATCGTTGTTTAGGTTTATGTCTACTGGGGGTCGAGGACAGAATTGGTTTTTTTATCGTGCAGTAGAGTCCCGGCAGGTCAAAACAGGGTGGTCCACTCGGATTACAAAAATTGTTTTATAAAGTAGTTTTGTGAATGATTTTGCTGTAGTGCTGTTTTTACTCTTATTTGCTTCTCGGCACCTCTCGGCGGCGCTGCTGCCCACGACTGCAGAAAGATCGTATGTATAATTGTCATCTATTTCCGTTGCAGCTGTTCTGTTTGTGTTCGTGTTCAAATTTTGTCTCAGGGGAAGAGGACAATTACTGATGCGTAGTTGTTCCGAAGTGGGTGTGTTGCTTGTGGCCAAAATTGGTCTTCCCGCAGAGTTATTGCTGCTCCCACTTTTTATTCACTCCTGTTGATAATATCAGGATGGCTGCTGCTGCAGCTGCTGCTGCCCCTGTTCTTGCCCGTGCTGGTGGACCAAACCCTGCTGGGAATTCGCGTTCCTGCTGAAAATATTACTCCCACCGGCTTCATATCCTGTGCAGAAGTATCGTAGTCGTATACCTAGATTGCACTTGCATATTTTGTCTTTTTCTGCAAAGATCAGCATTACAAATTGATTTTTTCTTCTGGGTTCAAAAAGTTTCGTGATGCAATTCCTATATCGTGGTACTCGTACTGCGATGCTTCTGCAGTGAATACGGTTGCGATGGGCTGCGACGCGGCCTGAGCCTGCCCCGCAGCGTTCACCCCGAATGCGAATGCACGGTTGAAGCTACTCCCCTGGTTATTTGCGCCGATGCCAATCGATTGACTGTTGTTGAATATTCCTGCTCCAAAAACTACATTACGCGCGGCCACGACGACCGGTGCGGGTCCGGCGTCGGCTTGCGGCATCAGTTCGTCCTCCTCGTGGACGCCGGACGAGGATGCAGCAGCCGGCCCGTTCGGTGGTTGCGACGTTGTAGTCTGCTGGACATATTTATTTTTTTTTCGCGATGAAGTTCGAACAGCACCAACCAGCAAGACGAAGCGAGCAACTGGTGGTGGTCAAAATGCGGACAAAACAAAAGCTCTCCTTCTATGTCCTGTGTGCATTACAAATTCCGCGATCAAGACATCAATAGATGCAAGTACCTGATTTCCCCCAAAAACATTCATAATCCGACTGCCGATCGGATTCAAAGTAGTCGTCGTCGTCCCAATCGTAGTACTCGCCTTGAAAGAAGTCCCGGCTCCACTGGGATTGAAAACCGCCGGTTGCTGCAGGGGCAATTTCGCGGTTGTACCAAAACCCAAATAGCCGCCGCCCGTGGAGAGCCGGCCGGCGGACGACGTCGCGGCCGATGGCAAGGAGGAGCTTGATGCGCCGGTAGAAGTCGTGGGAATTATCTTGTTGTGCTGGCTCGTGTTCGGGAATGATCTTCCACCCAGATTGAACTGTAACGGGGGAAGCGCCTTCGTCGTGTTCTGCAGGGTAGTTGTAGAAATTGGGGCCGCGTGGTACAGCACTCTCTGGTTCTTATTCACGTCGGGGGCATGCGCATGATGTGATGTGGTCGAACCCGTTGTTCTGTTCTCGTGGGGCGGATAAACGCTCGAGACTGATTTATGCATCGCAAATAGGTCTGGGTCTGGCTCTGGAAACTTGTGATGAGGAATTCTACGTGATCGGCGAACTTCTACGCCAGCCAAGCATGACAACTTCTATACGACGCTCTCTAGTCATGCGCAGTGCGCACTACAAACTGCGTTTTTGAATGACAAATGAAGTTGCTTGGGTTCTTCTGCAGTTCGTCATGCAATACAGATTTTGTAGGAGTACCAGACAACCAGCACAAGTTCCACTTTTCCAAACCCAGACGCAGTGGCAGTTGATATGATTTCTTCTGCTGAAAATCGTCCACGCACGCTTCTTATCAAATGCAAATATGTCTGGGTCTGGAAATTTGTCATGCCGAAATGTGCAAGAGAAAGTACGCTTCCTTATGCAGGAAAGCATGACAAGACAAGTTTGCAGGACGCTTTCTCATACGAACTCTGCATGAGAAAATGCGTTTTTGTATGACATGAGAGGCTACCAGTTTTGTTGGTCATTCAATACAGATTTCACAGGAATGCAAGATGAGCATCACAAGTTCCAACTTTCCAGACCCAGACATATTTGGATTTGATACCTCCTCTTCCAACCGCCGGGTCGGCCGTATGGAGTTCTCAAACGTGATATTGCGAGGAAAAATCCCCCCTCCCCATATCGAAAGTAAACTTGTGATGCTGGATTTGCGTACACAAATCGACTTGTATTGCTAGAATGCCAAGAGACGCAGCTGTGGCCTGAACTGCAGGCAGTTTGTCATGCTGTTTTCCACTTCCAGTTGTCTCCTCTCTTGCTGAAAGTGCAAGGCTTTCTCACGCCAGCCAGCACTACAGTCCGCATCTTTTGCCTTCTAGCATGACAACGTGATTTGTGGTAGCAAATCATGCTACACAAATCTCCGTTTTGGTATGGGGTGGGGGCTTTTTTCACTCTGATACGTGTGGCTCTCAGCTGTAGTTACGTGAACTGGTAATTTGCAATAGAGAGGCATCAAAATGAAAATTGGCCGAGATGAGTATCTTCTTGCGCCCCTAGCATTACAAATTCGGCACAGAAGATTTCTGTGCGGTGTAGCCGTTCAAAAATTTGTCATGCGAGGTAGCTGCGTCGTGTAGACGGACCTTGGTGTTGACTTTGCATGACAAATCACGCAACAGCCGCTGAGACGAAGGTCGCGTTTCAGAGTTCCATAGACCGCGTTGATTTGTTGTTCTGCTCACCCTCATTCGCAGCAAATAAACTTTCCGCGCTTCCGGCTTCTTGGTCGGCCTGGCCGATATCAACCAGGTTACTATTTGAGCGGTTGTTTACAAACTCTTCCTCGTATTGCTTCTGTACGTGACCGGTAAGGGAGGCCAGTGCACGTGCGTTTAATCCCGCGGTCGCGGCGGGCGCAGCACGAGAAGATGAGGAGGAGCTACCGGAATCATGAGAAGTTGCCGACGAAGACGAAGAGGTCAACAGCTCGGGTTGTTGTTGTTCTTGTTGTTCTGGTCCACTTCTATTCATCCTCATCGTGGCAAACGGATTATTACCCTGCAGCAAACTCCTGCCCCTGCTAGATCCTGTTGTCCCCAACGCCGGTCGTGGTGGCTGTGGGAGAAATGGGGAAGAGGTAGATGGGTAGTTGTTGTGGTTCTCCTGCAGTCGAATACGCTTGTCCTCCCACCCACTTGACGAAGAGGAAGAAAACGAGTTGTTCTCGTAGTTATCGGCAGAGATTGGTGAAAACGCAGCGGCTTGGTCTCCTGCTCCAGAACCATGGGAGGTGTCCTATGCTTTGCAACAGTATCGTTTGTTCGTGCTAGTATACAAAATTGCATCACATCAAATTTTCTCAAAAGGAAAACTGGAATTCATAATTCTGACACACCTAAAAAAGGGATGTTTGTCATGCTTGATAGCAAAATTACGACGAGTGCGATACTTTATTTGCACGGGATATACCAGGAGATATTACGATGTTGGTTCTTGGCTGCGTGCCGAATTGCATCACCATTGACGTGATGCCGTGATTTAGTGCTTCCCCCGTGTTGCCCCATCGCTCGGCTTTCTTATCGTATTTCTGCTGCAGGTGCCGGTATTCCCGCACCCGCTTATTGGACGTCTGTGCGATTTCATCCTGCTCTCGTACGATATTTTGTCCTATGCTGTGCAAAAGTGTTTTCAGCACTTGCTGCTAGAACTGCGATTTTCGTTGAAGAAGCTGTAGCAGGAGCGGTACTTCTCATGTAAGCGTCATGTTCTTACGTTGTCCAGAGCCAGACCGCCTCTTGCTGTATTGCAATATTTTTTGCATGAAATCGTGACCACGCAGTTCATGCCTGTGCGATAGATACTTTTACGCCGGCTATCTTCCTCTTCCGCCCTCTCGCGTTCCTGCCGACGCTCCAGCTCTTGCCGGCGGTGGGTAGCCACCTCCCGGGCCCAGACGTCCCTTTTGATTTCCTCTTGGAGCGCCAAATCGGCGGCCTCCGCGCTTCTCTGCAGGTACGCGGATTGTCGCATAGCGGCCGCGTCGCGGACATTGCGTGCACGCCGCTGCTCCGTTTCGCACTGCACCTGCAGCGTTGCCTCGTAGAGGCGTGGATCTTTTCTCGTATACCCTTCCACTCCGAGCCGGGGCACGTACACGGGCCCAAGACCCATGCTGCGCGCGCGGCCCGGTGCTGGGGGAGCTGGGTCGTCAGGGGGATCGGATTCAGAGGACATGTTTCGATACGGAAGGTTCTTTTGCCGAAGTAGGTATTAAGCACGGCTGTCTATATGATAGTTCGAAATAGAGGCGGCCGCCGCCACGTCCTTCTCCCTAGTTTGACATGGACAGCAGTGTAAAACTCGCCTTGGTTGTTTGTTAGCAAAACGAGAGGTTTTCTTTTCCTCTGTATTGGGTTATTTCGCGTGCGCATGGGCGTGACCACGTCCCCTTCTCTCCGATCGGACAGTGGTCGCACGAAATCCCAGAAATATATGTCGTACGTACGAAGAGGATATCTCAGCAACTTCGCTCGGCTTCTCCGTCCTCTCAGAAATGCAATTGCTCGGCTTCATATAAAAGTCCCGATCACTCCATGGTGCTCTTGCTAATGATAGACACATAGTGTCGACGACGAATCTGAATATCAGGGACCGAGTGTCGCACGATGCGGCGAAGGCGAAGACTAGTTCGAAGCAGAGTAGTTGTCTCGCAACCGATGCGCAACAAGAACAACTAGAACTACGCACCATTTTGGCGGACTCCACATTGGGGACACCCTGCGTGCCCGACCATGATGTGTATGAGGTGAAAGTACGTAGCTCAGACGCAGGCTGCGGCAACTTCTTTTCGGCCCCGCCGCGCCAGTGCAGAATAGTGACACCACTTTAATACGCTTGGGACAGTGGCGGGTCTCCGCGACAATAAGTGGCACACCGGCGGGCCCACAACATGAAGTCACGCCCAAGGGCTCTTTGCGACACGATCATGACAGAGGCGCAGGCGAGGGTCGGCACGGGGGACACGGCCGGCAAGAGCGCGCGCGGCGTGCGCCCACGCACACACTGATGGGCCCCGCGGCCACCTCGTCGCGCGGGTTCCGGCGCTAAGGAGGCAGCGGGCGTGGCGTGCCACCACCAGAGCCCTGTGACAAGAGTCGCGCGCGCCTCTCGCAGCTTCTTCCACCTTGTTTGCCCCGCTTCGGGTGGTCCGGCGTGAGAGGCGGTGTAGCCCAGCTCTAAGTTGAGCTGTGCCGCGGCCGTTGACAGCGTGAGGAAAGTATCTCCATCATGCGCCAACCAACGCAGAAAGTTCGCGCGGCTGTGGCTGCGGCTCTTCCGTATGCAAAGAAGCCCCGTCGCGCCACCTAGGGGCTGCGCTGCCACGCGCCTGCGCGCGCCCGCTGGCGCGCAAGATGAACGGGAGGCGCACGTCGCCGCCCCTGATTATATGTCCTGCTTGCTGGAAACGCACACTCTACGCATGAAGAGGATCTCGCGGAAAGTTCACTCAGCTTTTTCACCTCGCAAAAACGCAGCTACTCGGCTTCATATCTAAGTCCTTATCACTCCACGCCGGTCTTGCGAATGCAGTTGTAGACAAGAAGGAAACTACTTTTTCATGAACAAAATTCGAGTATTCTGCACGAAGGTCTTGCAATAGAACACACTTTTTTTTATCTTTATGAACAAACTTGCTTTGTTGTCAACTACTCGTCGCGGGCACTGTACAACTAGAGCTCCATGCTGTACTTACTTTGGTTCAAGTACAGCAACTATCCTCATTAGTGTGATCCTCAATATTTTCATCATCGTTTATTACAGTTTTGTTGTCTGCTGGTGGTCGAAAGCCAGCATATTGACCAGCCTTGTCATCTTCCTTGTTATCTAGCCTTTTTCGTCGCACCCACCCTGAGGAAGCACCAGTTTGATTCTTGTACTATTGGTGCGTGATCTTAATCAAGACATCCGGGCGAAACAGTGGATTTATCACACGAGTCGGCGCGAAGATGACGAAAAGGGGAGGTCTCTAAATTGCATTTATTTCGTGTTGATGCTCTTTTTCTCCAGTTCAAAGACGTAGTGTCACGACTGTCTAGGTTCGCGATAACGAGTTTCACATCATGATTGCTGATGCGACAAAGCCGTGTCCTCTAGGTACTACCTTCCAGTTGTTCATTTTGACGTTACTCCAGGTACTTCCAGTTTCCGGTGAGGGGCTGGGTGACAACGAAAATCTGCAACTCCTGTTCTTCGGCCGTTTCGCGGTCCACCTCATCTCCGTCACTACAGTGCGGCGCCGCCATATGGAGGGTTCATCAGGATCGAACCGGACAAAGCTGAAATAGTGATTATGCTTAGCCATGCATAAAACCGGTAACCGCTGTTTCCCAGTTTCTAGGCAGCGCATGACAAATATTGGCAGTACCTAAATCCAGTTTGTCATGCTGTTTCGCCGAAGAAAACATCTTTTTCCATGGTCCTACTGCAGCAGCTTTCTCTCCATCTCTGAACAAGCTTACAACCGGGCTCACTTCCCTGCTTTCCAGTACATGCACGTCATGCCTCCTCAATTTCTGCATAAGTAATGAAATATTTCAACTTTGCCGATTTGGGTCCTGACGCTCCCATACGCCAGTAGGTCTGCGATTGGCATGTCGCTCGTCGGGTCCAACTGCTCGCCATTGCAAAAATATATCGTGCTGAAAAAGCTTCTGCAATAACCCGAGCAAAAAAAATTTTCAGGCTGCGAAGGAGAACTACAACTTCTCAAGTTTTTCTTACCGCATGACATCAATCTCAAACACATTATATAAACATTTTTGGCTCGGGTGAAGATATTTCTTTTTCACACGATAGAAAACAGCAGCTTGGTTCCCCCAGCAGACGACCGTATCAGACTGAAAAGACCCCGAGCTGTGCAATCGATCAAAGGTGGTCTCTACAAGGTGAAAAAAACACTCAAGATGAAATACCGGATACCGTATAGAAAGGAAATATTCCTTCACAGCGGCAGTGCGCATGACAGTTCGTTTCGAACAATGCGGCGAATATGCATATTTTCTCCGTACTCCGGGGTGTACTACGGGTAGAATCAACAAAATTGATTGACACATAACTGATTTCAAGATAACCTTCTGACGTCGTGCACGCACCTGGTACTTTTGCAAACTTGCATATTCTGGAAGCAGTCACGAATGCAGTGTCGGAGGTAGTACGGGTCCATGAGGTCGAACTTGGCAAGGAGGGGGTCATGCCTCGGAAACCGCTTTCGGAGCTCCTCTTTGACGAAGTATTGGTCGATCAGCTGTATCCCCTGCAAAAGCATCGCGGTCGTACTGTGACTAAAAAGGTAAAGATAAAGTAACTGCAATACTGCATGACAAATCCTCTCGTCACGACATAAACATCATTCATACATAGAGTGAACAGATCAGTATTTCAAAATCCATTTCTCCTTCTGCGTGTTAGTGTTACGATGATTTTACAATGCATAGGCCGCTTGGCGGTCTCTAGGACGTGGCTCGCATGTCGCACCAGGACTTGTTTTCCCCAAGCGCGTGAGTCCCACTGGACTTCTCGATGTGCCCACACGTCGGCGACGTGTAGGAAAAAATCTCGCTCTGACGCGTCGCAGTCAAGCTCGACAACCACCTCGCCGTCTTGCAGGCTAATGCCGTCGAAGGCCTCCAGAACGCTCTTCTTCTGTAATGTAGTGTTGCTCAGGAGAGGAGTGACGAAAAAACTTCATAATCTACAAATAGAATGCGCATGACAGATTCCCACGATGGCAACCAGCATGAAATAACAATAAAAGCGATAATGCTCTTTTACAATTATATTTCGAAGGTACTTGCTGCGCAGAACACTCCGACACCAAATAATCCAAGACATTTCAATACAAGCTGTGAGTACCGAAAATCCGGTGGCAAACTCGAAATATGGCCCGTCCCCCGTTGAGAGCAGGTGTATGCATTGCAAATATCCCTGGGTCTGGAAGAATGCAAAGTCTATTCTATCCACACGACTTTTGCATGACACATGAGAAGGCTAGCATGCAGGCTCTAACGTCACAGGTTTTCGTGCAAATATACCTTATTGCTGCCTATCAGTTACTATTTCCATCTCGCATGCCAACCCCCCGCTCTCTGTAGCAAGAATTTTTCACCGACTTTCCCTGTTCACGGATGACACACATATTTCGAGTGATCTGAAATGCTGCGCATCACAAGTTTACGCCTTTATAGATTGATCCAGACAACATGTTTGCACTGAATAAAGCTGCGAGCGCGACGCTCAGGTATTATATCTGTGAGACGGCCAGATGCCCTATCTTCATCCCACCTCGCGTGGTCCGCATCACGATGTTCGCGTTCCGCCGTTGCGCCCGATATGTCTCTGAACCTGGGACTGATCCAGTCGAGCAGGGCCTGAAGCTCGGCAGCGGTGTACTTCATCCGGAGACAGCGGTCACCTTCTGCCCTGATGCACCTCGCGGCCAACTCCTCGTTCGAAGTCGGGCCCTGCAAAAATTTCACGGGATATGCGTCGCGATAGGAAAGAGTGTGCAGAAACCTCGTCGTGAAGAAGAGGTCGAAATGAAACCCCTGGCGGACGAAGCCTACTACTTGGTCGGGCTGCGATGAGCGGAAGCCCTTCACTCGCAACTCCCCGCAAAACTCTGGGGTTATTAAACACCGCCGCAAAACTTCATTTGCAGTATCTGGCAGGCCGTCGAAGTGCATCCGGACTACGGGAAAGTCCACTCTGCTACACCCGGTCTCGTCCGACGGGTCGTCCGACTGGTACCACTTAGACTCGAGCAGCTCTTCTCGTTGGATGAAGTGCTCGTACTCCTGGCCGGTCCTGTAGACGAAACTGTTGAAAGCTTCGCAGTATGCAATACAAGTATGTCTGGGACTCCAACTTTGGAAAAATCAGTAGGTACTTACTTGTCATGCTCAGCCGGGCCGATGGGCAACTTGAATTTCGGATGCACAGCTGTTGAGAATCAAATTTTGATGACCGGCTCATGAATCGCTATTGGTAAGCAAGTAGTATCAAGAACTCCTGTTTCATCAGCCCCAGACACAATTGCAGTTGATACACAGGCATCCTTGACGGTCGGTTCGTCTGCTGTAAGCAGCTTGCCAGGCGCCCCGAAATCCGGATGAAAGTTGAAGAGCAACTCGTCGCCGGCATTGGTGAACCGCACGGACGGGGGGCCGCGCACCTCAGGTGGCGGGGGCGGAACATCGGACTGCGGCTCAAATGCGGCGGACGTCGATGTTCCAGGGACGGGAAAAGACCGTTTCATCGCCATATGATCTGCATCAGCCGCCATGGCCGCTAGTTCCGGGCATTGCTCGCCATCGACCAGCCTGCCGTGGCACGGCACCTCCAATAACAGCTGCTTGCGCATGGATGAGGTTTCCTGGGTCACGTTGCCTGACGGTGCTGCAGTGAAGTGTCGCCAAAATGATCAAATCCGAGCAAATCTGCATTACTACACGTGTCATGCACCGGTCGGAAGATGTAATGACTTTCGCAGAATCTTAAAAATCACACTCACATGCTCTCCCTGACCATCGAGCGTCATGCTTACACTTAGCAGCTTCGTCTTCCGGGTAGAGTTGAAGTTGAATTACTGCAACGACAAATAGCAATAAGTACCGTCCCATTTGATAGGTTTTTTCGCATGGCTGTAGTTCGTCAGGAGACCGCTGTTCATTCCTTGGTCATCCACCTCCACGAAAGGCTGTTGCACCGCTGGGCAGGTGTTCACGTCGTGCATGGGGAAGGTAATCCGGTCATGGATATGCCAACAAAAGGTCACAACGCCAAAGAAGAAGAGGTTCTATTTCGGTTCTATTTTTTACAAAAGCTGAAGATGGTAGTGATTGAATTTCGTTTTTCTTTGTGACCCGGTGGTGATTTCATGAAAATGCTGTCGGAAGGCACTGTGATCTTTTCCTGTTATCATATCGTGGTCGCTCCTGACTGTCATCGGGGGTCATTCCTGCCATCGGCACATCCTCACTCAGTGTCGAAGCCGGTCCTGTTGAAATGATTTTTGTTTTGTTTATTCTTCGATGTCGTGCGAAAAGATCGTCTTACTCGTGGTGTAGATTGCCCCGATGCCACAGAGGCCACGATGAAAAAATTTGCAAAATAATGTCATGCTGACATTCCTTACACTACCGTAAGTTCACACTTATACTACTCGAAGACGAGTGCCATGTAGCTACACGGGTATGATTACAATATAGAAAATCAATTTCAAAATCAAATTATCTTCTAATACTAAAAGATGAAGCGAGCGATGGGTTTTCCAAATGCGGAACGTGGCGGAAAATCCTCTGAAGCTGCGTCGCAAGGGCTTCCTCCTGAGGCAAGTTGATGAGCTCTTGCAGTAAATCCCCATCTTCGTGGAGGTGTTTCTGCACTTGCATCCGCTTTGCGTCGACGTTTGCCTGGGCCTCCTTGAGCTGTTTCTCCGCAGCATCCAGATCCTCGTTGGCCGCCGCCACCTTGTGCAAAGCTTGCAGTCGTAGGGCCATCATCTTCTCGTCCTGTTCCTTCTGCTGTCCGTCCGATTCCGCTGGTTCATTGTCACGAGCGAAGAATACAAGTCGATCACGTTTTTCCTTTTTGTTGGTGGTGCCATTCAAATTCTGCTCCACGCGAAGACGCTGGATTGGCACCGGTTCTTGGCGCAGGTGGCGTAGAAAGTCCCTGGGGTCGGGACCGAATTTTATGGGATGTTCGGGTATCCACGACACTGAACGCTCCGCAAGTGGTCGGCGGATGTTGTCTACTTCTTGTGGGAGAAGCGTTTCGCCCGGAAAAGCGTTTTGCTCGAAGCTGTTTTGTTCTCTGAAGACGTCCTGAACAGCGACATCAGCGGACGTCGGTGGCGATGATAAACCCCCGTCGTTGACCATTATCCTGTGTAGAAACGTCCCTATCCCGGACTTGCGATGCAAAATCTCATTACATGGGGAAACTACGTCGGTGCGCAATTATCCAGTCCTGACTTTTGCGAACTGACTTTGCAATGCGTCTTTGATTGCCAAGCAGCAACAAACCCCAGATCGAAACTTGTCATGCCGGATTCGCAAAAGTGCTGCGCTAGTGTAGCTCCTGCACCGATCCCATCTAGTACCTGACCACGGATAGTACCTTTTTACACTGGATATAATCAACCTGAACTGCGTCTTCCGGTTCATTGTACAAGTTGGTTCGCTCCTGGTCGAGCACGCGCACGAACTCGTCCCAGTTAGTGAACGGAGCAGGTTCTCGTTCGGACAACACTGGTAGTTTCGCTGTGTGATGATCTCCATCGGAGGACGACGACCCGCGTGCAGTAGAGGATGCTGATGCGTCGCGCTGCTGCTGGCTGTGGCTTTGGCTTCGGCTTCGAAGAATCAAAGGAAGAATAAATTTGTTGAAGTCGGCTTCCCGCAGGGCGGCGATGGTTGTCTGGCCGGTTCTTGTAACCTCCCTTCTTTGGGCAGAGCCGTTTGCAGCCTGCCGGCGCGTTTGTTGTATTCGTAAACACGCCATAGTCTGTTGTATTCGTAAATCCAGCATCCCGTTGTAGTTCTGTTGCTCTTGTTGTTCGTCCCGGTCGGCCGGCTCATTTTCGTCAGAAAAAAGTGCGTTCATCCTATCACGCTCCGTTTCATCACTGGTAGCCGAATTCTGCTCCGCGTGCAGGTGATGTATCTGTTCCGCAAGCGGCATCGCGTAGGTGCGATTCAGCATCTCGATTTCCTTTCTGTCGAGCCAGTATGGGTTGCAAATATTTCTGGGTCTCCTGGAAGAGTGCAAGACTTGCCATGCAGGTTTTGCATGACCCATGGCACCAGTGACGCATGACAAAGTCCCTTTCCATTGGGGCAGAAGTAGACCCCTTTTGGTAATCATGCAACACAGTACAAGATTTTTGCATCACGAGCCGAACTTAGCATGAAAGCCTGCAAGGTTCCATCTCCAGACACAGACACATTGGCAATGCATAGCCGCGACGTGAGATGCTGTACGCTAGACGACATGCTGGAAGGGGTAAAAAGGTGTTAGTGGTTCTTGTTCTGTGGTATTGATGTTCTTGTTCCTGGACTGAAAGAGAAGAAGATAAGCAGTAGCAAATATTTCCAGGCGTGAAAAAGTGCAATTGGTCATGCAATCTCTGTACCACACAAAAATCTGTGTTGCAAATTGTTTTTTGCTGGCACGACAGTTTCCATTTAGTGCTGCCAAGAATAGAAAAAAACGAGTTCCAGTGCTGCCAAGAATAGAAAAAAAAGCTGGGATGTGTTTGGTTGTCACAAAGGGGTAGAAATTGTGGTACCTCTTTATGTATTTTCGTATAAAGAAAGCAATTTATAGAACTGTAGATTCGAATATCGAGAATTCCTACACCAGAAAACGAACCCCTGTCTGCTCTCGCAACTGTTTCGACGTCACCCACGATGCATCGGCTGAGCCTCTCTAGCCGCAATAGCGTAGTTGTGTCACATTGTGTTTGCTCCTCGTTCTCTCCGATCCTTCGTCGAACATCAAACACAAAAAACTATCTCTCACGTTGAGAAACAACAAGAGCTTGCATCAAGAAGTGCACCGAAGATCCTGAACGACGAATAAAGGTCCGAAAAAGAACCATCTCTCTCATACATCCTATCTTCACCTGAAGAAACTCAAACTTTAACGTCCTTGTAAAGTACTTTTCCCCTGCTGGAGCAAACGTTTCGTACGACTTCCTGCAACAACTCTTCCAAGAATCGGAAAGCTCAACAGAGGTCGTGCTCAAAAAAAGAACTGACATTGGGCCTTCGCTGAGGTCGAAATGTCGCATTTTCCGTGGCTGTACGAAGCGTTCTTGTACCATAGGGCTACATCAGTAGTAGGCCGGAGCCAAACGCGAATCTGGTGTCTCGAATATCATTTTTTCATATAGTGAAATGGAAGACATTGACTTCACATTTTCCGCATTAAGCGTCGTCGCCGTCGTCGTCTTCCAACTGTCTGGCACGTTCCTGCCATTCGCCACTCTCCACGTACTCCACCAGTGTTATGGGGTTCTCAGACGTTACATACCCAAATGTCGTGTGAATTTGTCATGCAAAAACACCACCACCATCCTCACGATCAAGCTACTCCGCATGACAAATTTGCGAAGGGCTAAGCCGCGACTAAATCTGCGCCGAACTTGTAATGCAAAAGGCGCAATCTTCCTCCTTTCACTTTTGCCAGTCTTGCATTAGAGTGGGGTAACAATGAAATCCTTATCCGCCCCCGCGGCGGATAAGCCAGGGGGGGGGCCCCCCCCGCCTTATCCGCCGGCGGGCCGTACCGTTATAGCCGCAACAAAGTGGCCGGGCGCCACCACCGCGCGCCTGGAGGACCCGGAAATGCCGACAACGCCCGGCATGTTGTGGGCAGATTTTGAAACACCACAAAGACCGACGGACGGCATGGCGCCGCCGGTCTTTGTGATGTTCCATTCCTTGAAGGTAGCAGGCGCAGCAAGTGAAGGCCCCACACTGGCGGGACTGCTTCGGACCTAAAAAAACCCGCCAGCAGATATTTGCCACGCAAAAGGTGAAACAGCTTGGGAAACCCGCCAAGCAACAAGCGGCCGAGCAAATAGCAAGCTAGCAGCGGGCACACAGGGCCAGGGCTAGAACTTGCCCCACAGATGTAAACTCCTACCATGCGGCGCAGCGTGAGGGCCGCCGAGCTTCCTCGCCTATGTCTTTCGGACTATGTACTTGCTTGCCAGCCCATGCCGCCCTGGTCTTGCTTGGGCATGCCTGCAGGTAGCGGCTTAGGGTCCGAAGTGAGAAACGCAGTGGGCTGGGGGTTTTATCTTACCCGCGCCCGCCTTCGCAGGGTGTGTGCCTGTGCAGACCCAAGCCCGCCGCCCGCTATGGATTCGCCTCCTTTCCTTTTGCAATGGGCCCACGCACCGAAACAGGCCGCAACAGCGCCCAAGGCTGCGCACCCAGGGCCCGCCCCTTATAAATGTGGCGCGCCATCGGTGGTAAAATTCCCCCCGGTGGTGTGTTCGATTTATATTCCCTCGCGACAGGCCCGCGGCCGGGCTCCCATTTCCTGGGCCCCGGGCCGGGCCGTGCTGGTGACATGTTAGCTTGCTTGCCGCAGCGCGAATAACTTCCGCCGCGGCCATATAGAAGCAACTGAGCCGCGCGGGCGACAGGCGCGCGCGCCCTACTTTTGTTCGGCGGCTTTTTTTTCATGCCGCCGCCAGCCAATGCCAATGCGCCCCAGCTTTCCGGCGCGGCACAAATGCCGGCCCGAAGTGATGCGCGCGAAACAGGCCTCCCTCGGAGCGCAGTGAGGTTTTCTCGGTTCCCATTACAGGTTTTCCCGTTTCCCATCTCGGGCCTCAGTGAGGTCTCCCCCCCGCACAGGCCCCGGGGCCCAGCGCGACGGGCTGTGGCTCTGGGCAAGCCACAGCCCGCTACCAGCTACCGCCCCCCGCGCTGACTTCCTCTCCCCGGCCGCCACGCCACGCGGCACGCATTTTTGATTGCGATTGCGCCAAGGCGCCGGGGCAACAACGCCGGGGCCCTGCATGGGGCTGCGGGCTGGGTGGTGATTCATTTCTCGGGTGGCGTGTTTCCGGCGCGAATTGGTAGCCGCCGGGGCCTGTGGGTACGTAGCTTGCAAAGCCAGCAAGGTGCTTACACCTGCGACCAGGAGCCCCCACCCGGTGCGCGTGAGGCTTGGCGCCCTTGTTTCTTTGCGAGGCACGCTGTCGGACTCGGTCTGTGCGTATGTATCTATTGTGTGCAACGTGATGAAGCCAGGGCTTCTATGGGCAAACCCCCCAGACAGGCCTCGACGTGCAAAGCCCGGGCCTCTATTGACAAGCCCCCCAGCGAATTACTTAAATCCAGCGGGCGTATGCTAAACGAAAGCAAGAGAAAAACAGCAGCAGCCAGAGCCATCCTTCTATGTCGTTTTTAGGACTTTTTCGTGCCTTTTGTAAGTCATTTGCATGAAAAAAAGCACTTTTTTTTGTGTGAATTCCCAAAGCAACGTCTTTCCGCCTTGTTTTGCTTGCAAGACAAAAAATTGGCCTGCCGTCTCTCTTTCTTTTCTTCTTCCACCAATCCCGATGGTGCGACGTTTGGCGGCTTCCTGCGTAATACTTAAACCGTAAGCACCAGCGGCGTGCTGTGTGTCGGCCCGGGGTCCCTCGGGCTCACCCAAACGGCGCCGGGGCCGGGCCAGTTCATAGGGCCTATTCCGGGACAGCCCGCCGGCGGATAAGGATTTCATTGTTACCCCACTCTTACAAATTCATGTAACAGTTGAGAATGTAACATTTGAGAACTCCATAAGTGTGGCGAATTCCACCGAATAGTACCCGAGCATCCCCTGGGCGGCCTCCATGATCCCGAGGATTTTCAGGACCTCGGGAAAATCAGTCTCGCGGAGGTGTATCAAGTTCTGGAACGCGTCGCGATGGGAAATGGGGTTCAAACTGCGCGGCGGGGACGAGGTCCAGAGCGATGATGAGAAATCAGGGTCGAGCCCGAGATCGGCACACGCAGTCCTGAACCAATCCCACCGTACCACGCGCCGCTCCAACGAGATTTTGTTATTTGCCATTTCCGCAATCCAGTCTTGGATAATTGTAAGTCGGTCGAACGTCATGTCCGGGTCAACGTGGTGTCGTCCCGTACTCTGTTGTTTAGTATGTGTGTCAACGTTTGTGAAATACGGAGTGATATAGGAGTAAAACCCGTCTCAGGAACACGACAGGCCCTCAAGGATGGGTGTTCCCCTAGAAGTACAAGCACACAAAAAGTGGAACACCTATGCAGCAACCTTTTTTAAAGTACTATTTCTCCCCGCAGCAAGTGGACCTGCCATTTGCCGAATTCTTCAACAGTTGGCATCTCGTTCAATGCCCCGTTAAATTCAAGAGTTGGCCGCTCGTTCACGGCCACGGACCGGCAAAAGCAATCAGGGTTGTTATGGGAAGAAAAAACACTGGCGCAGTCACTACACCATAAGGGATGCTTGAGAAACAAAAATTTTTGCATCACAACATTAGTTCGCGCATTGACAGAAATGAACAGCGAAAGTCCCGTACCTACAAGGCTTCGCTCGGTTGCTGCAACATTTTTAGCCATGACAAGCAAGAACTTCGCACTGCAAAAACATCCAGGGCAAGTGACTGTAGCGCAACCTTCAAATAGTGGATAGCACCTCACGTTACGCAAACACTCCGCCAACACCTTTCGTACCTCTGCGCGCTCGGCTTGCTTTTCGTCCTGGCCGTTTGCTTCCTCGCTGCTACAGCAATATGAAACATGGCACCCGCCAAGAAGCGCGATGCGGAAGTTATCAATTGCAAATATATTGGGTTTGGGTCTGGATGTATAGCGTTTTTGCGTGATCCAACGCGCCATGCAAGCCCTCAGTGTCACATTTTTTGACTGAGTTTCTCAATCCAAATACTTCACTGTCCGCGTGACAAATCACCTCTTTCGGCAACAAGAAATGGGCGAGTTCTTTTCTTGCGGGTCGTGCATTGCAGATTTTTGCGTGGTCTTCTAAGATTTGAATGCATAGTTCTCGACCCAGATTTATTTGCAACGCGTACAAATCGATGATCGCATCATCCGCCGTGTAGTGTGCCCACCTCTATGGAGGCGTCAGATTCGAAATTGCCAGAGTTGTGGAATAAAGAAGTTGCAATGCATGGAATGCCGGGGATTTTGCTCGGCCTGTCTTACGGGGGTGGCAAAAGTGAGGGTCAGGGATGGAGCTGCGGAGGAGCATTACCTACAGTAGCAGTCTTCTCTGCCCCATCAAACACACCCAGGCAATGCCGAAATTTACCATGTGCCACATACAACTTGTGCGTGCAGCGGGTTTCGCCGGCTTTATGCGTCCTCACAATTTTTCTTTTTCAACTATGTCGACTTCGAACCTGGAGCCCCCATAACTTCATCGCCTTTCGCACGCAGTCTGCTGGGAGAAAAGTGTTCCCGGGCCAAAGCGTGAACCTGATCAGTTTCGCGGCGTAATCTTTCAGATCATCCTTCTGGACGTTCCCTTTCCGCGTCTTCCTGATATTCAGGTCCGTAAATCCGGCTCCGCCGGATCTGCGGGCATGCTTGTCGATTTCTTTGTCGGGAAGCTCCAATACCGCTATGGTGTTCTCAAGCGTTGCATTGTCCGCTGTGTGATGCAAAAAATAGTATTAAATAAAAAGTGAAACGTCGGAGAGCCTGCACCCCTCGCACCACAAATTCGGCAAAGCTTTTTGCTTTCATGCTGTTAAGTGGTTAGCCCCTCGGGAATCTGTCATGCGAACTACAGTCCGTCCTTTGATCGCGTGGAAGGGCCTTGATGGTGATTTTCTTGCATGACAAATCACGTATATGGTGCAGCGATGCAACGTTTGAGAACCCCATAACCGCGACGGCGAGGTTTCGACTTATCGGGAAGTCGGAACACCAATCACGCATCGAAGGATAAAGTAGCTTCAGTTTGAACTCGCACATGCAAATCGATGTGGGTGTGGTACGAAACAACCACGTGTCAAAATGCTGAAAATGCAGCAAAGGATGAAGGAATTCCTTCAGTGTGTGCTCCCGCAAGAAGCAGGTATGGGTATGGCAAAGATTCTTTTCCAACATTTGCAACGCTCTTATTATTGTTTCTTGTCGCGCTGCGCACAGATGCTGCAAAAGCAAAAGCATTTCAGTGAAGCGCCTTCTTCGCATGTTAATTATACCGCTTTCTTCATCTTCACCGAGAGCATCGTATAGCTCCCTGTTGCCCGCACCCCAAGCAGGGGACACTGGGAGAAACGGCGACAGTACGGCTAGGGTATCGCCTTCCAGGAGTTCGAATTCATTATGAAGTGCAAAAATGTCTGGGTCTAGAAGATCAAATAAAAGTTGTCATGCTACTTAAATCTGAATGATGCAAAAATCTGTGTTGCGTGAGTGCCAAAAGCTCTGCGCTTTTGACCAAATTGAGAGGGAGTTTCTCATGCAGGAAAGGCATAATAGTGACCTCAAAAAATTATATGTCATGCTAGGTCTCGCATTCCAAAACTGATAGCTCATGCAAAACGTGCATGACAAGTCTTACAGACCCAGACATATTTGCAATTCACAGTCCTTGCAGTTGTACATTTCATCGAAGACGAATGAGCGGGCCTGGTCAAGCGTGCAGTTGCGGGCCCGAAGGTGCTATGCATTGCAAATATGTTTTGGTGTGAAAATTTTCCAACTTCTTCTAACTCGTGCTTGAGATCACTCGCACAAAATCTGTCATGCATAGACAGCAGAAGTTGCGTACTTTCTGTCACTGCTGCACCGCATTTCCAGGAGACACTGACTCCCAGTGGTCGACCTCGCTGTCGTCACCGGAAAAAGAATTCATCATGCGGATTCGGCACTGTGAGACCTTCACCTTCTGGAAACCTGTGTGTGGTGCTAGTGCTTGCATGCCAGACCTACTGTGCGATGCAGAAACAGGATGGGGGAAATCTGCACTCCTGCAGACCCCACCAGACATATTTGCAGCGGATACGCAGAAGGCATCAAACACGTCGTCGAAATCCAAGTCCATCTCCTCGGGCAAGCGGAATGGAATGGCTGGCTCCGCTAGCGTCGTGACAACGAACTGGTATACTGCGGTATCGTCAGGAAAAGTGCCCCGCCCCCTCAACTACAGGTGTATTTCTTTGTTCCTCGTCACGTTTGCCATGTTGGCAATGCAAATGTTGCACAGTCATCTCTTTCGCCAGCAAGACAAATTTCCCAAAACGAAGGACGGCCAGGAATTTGTGTTCGCAGGTCGGCGTATTACTGGCATAGCACACCGTGGTGGTGGTCACGGGAAGGCTAGCAGCAAAGCATTACAGATACAGATCTTCCTTACACAAAATTAAAATAAACCGGTGGAGCAAGAAAAGAATTTATTTCCCGTCCTCGCTGACACCATGGCCATGCTTATTATAGCATGCTTAATCGGTGCTTGATTGCTCATGTCTGGTGGCAGGGCGCTTTTAATTATGATACACGTATTACAGTGAAAAACGCCCCCACATCCAAAGTTGCAATAATTTGTGATGCGGAGTTTCCAAATGAAAACTTTTTGTGATGCGTGAAAGGACTATGAATCTTTCTGATGCATCAAATTCTAGTCGTATATCTATATAGCATCGCTTGCATGACAAGCGCCGCTCTTGCTGGCGTCTTTTGCAATACAAATTTTTGCTAGAAAATGATCACGAGGGGAAATCTGTGATGCTGATAGATGCAAGAGGGCGAGTGTTTCATTTGGAAAGGTTTGCAAGACAACTGCTCCCAAGGTCTCGGGTGGGGGCATTTTTCATTGTAGTAACACGTCCTCGTCCTCCCAGTCGATGAGCTCGTCCTCCTCTGCAAATTTCGGTATTCTGAGCAAAAACGCCCCCATCGCATAGCCAAGAACTTGGTAAATCTGCAACACTAATTCAGAACTTTTGGCCGTCGCGCATGACAAGTTTGTTCTCTCTGTAGTTTGAGTCCACTTTAGCACGAGCAGGCGCATCACAAACCCATCTTCTTAATCTTATCCTGATCCTGTTATACAGCAGTACAAAATTCCAAAGTACGATCGGCAATGCCTGGGGTCAGGGGGATGAGCATTACAAATTCTTTTCGACGTAATTGCAAATCTGCATGACAACAACTCTGGGATGGGGACGTTTTTGCTCAGGATATTCGGTTCTTCTTCTTCGTCTTCGCTGGTTTTTTTGGGCGCCTCGTTCTATCAGCAACAAACGTGTCTGTTCTTGGAAGACCACTGCAAACGCTATATCATGTAGGCTTTCCGTGCCCTCTCATGGTATCGGCATAACGTCAGAGCCTTGCAAATTCACATTTGCAACTTCGATGTTGCGATAGCGATGCCTATCCTGCATGACAAATGTCTTCTGAACTACCTCCTAACCAAGAATTATGCACAACTCCACCTCGTACTTACCTACAACCCACGACCGATGTATAGGAAAATTTGTGTGATCCTGCTCCAAATGTGGACGTGTCCCTAGTTTGCACTTTTCCAGGAGACCCAGACAAATTTGTAAAGCGTACTTTCGACGACGACGGTCCGGACACGACGTCATCGGAACAACCGGCTTCGCTGTCATCGTTCCACTCAAAGCTCTCGACCTGTCATGATTTTTCGAGACGAGTGTGCAGTTGATTTTGCATTACAGATACGCAGAGCAAGAGCACATGCATGGGAACAGTCATCATGCGCAAAAATATGGCTATTTTATCAACGGTGAATTCAGTATCGTCTGTTCTTTCGTACCTCCATCCCCGAGTCCGCTTCGTCCTTGGCCGCAGGCACTGACTTGTGCACAAGCCACCGCAGCCGATTTGGTGGCGGCACCAGCTGGTCGTCTGTAAAAAAGCGGTCGAGCCAGGTATCAAGTGCAAAAATGTCTGGGTAAGAATGCATGTTTGTCATGCATGTCTGGCATGACTCTTCAATCTGTCATGCACGTTCCCCAAGAGCTCCATTTTTCTGTGATGCAGAAACGCAGTTTGTCATGCAGAATAGGCAACACCTACAAGCTCAGAAACTTGTCATGCTGAGCCAGCATTTGTGGCCTCATCATGAGACGCCACCCAGCATCACAAGTTTCCAAACCCAGACATTTTTACATTTGATACCATGTCCACGAGTGCAAATGCCGAATTTCCGTCACCGCTTCCGGATCGAAGGCGATCTCCATCATCGTCCCAACGGCATTGCTATCCTGTGCAAAAGTATCGTACTCGTACTAATTGCATTTATGCTGTCTCAAGGCAAATCAGCATTACAAATTCAATCAATTTGTAATGCTGGGCCAATTTGTAATGCAATTTATACTAGTACGATGCTTTTGCATTGCATAATTGCAGATTTTTCGCGTTGCGGTTCCGCCACACACAACTGCCTCCACCAGCGGCACCTGTTCGTATAAATTGCAATCATGATATCGTTTCGTCGTCTCAACACTCTTTGTCATTTTAGTGCCAATTGCATGACGTCAAGGCTTTTTTTTTCAAATGAAACAAAAAATCAGATTCTTGTATCTCATCTCGGTGATGTACCTCAGAAGCCCCTGGAAACAAACTCGCCGATGAAGAGTCCTGTTGCATTACAACGCCGTCTATGGATTGTAAAAGTGTCTGGGTCTGGGAGGATGGAAGTTGTGATGCGTCCTGTGGGTCACAGAAAAATTTATAGTGTTGCGTGATCGCCAAAAGTTGTCCTTTTTGGACCAACATGAGCGGGAGTCTCTCATGCAGGATAGGCATGATAGAGACCCCGCAGAATCTGTCATGCTAATTCCTGCATTCCAGACCTCATGTCATGGGGCATGGAAAATATGCATGACAAGTTTGCACCACTCTTCCAGACCCAGACATTTTTGCGTTCGATACCGTCGCTGCCTTCCCTCACGTCCTGCTTGCCACCCTGGCCGTGGGTGGTCACTAGTGGAACAAGCTGCGGTGTAGCTGGCACTTTTGGGTACGAGCATGTTCTGGTGCTTCCATGGCCTGCTGGATTTGCGCCCGACCACGCAGCAGACACTTCTTGGCCAGGATCATCTTCTTGTGGAAGCAGCGTTTCTATCAAATGCAAATATGTGTGGGTCGTCTGGAAGGCTGCCAACTTGTGATGCTGCGTTTGGAATCTATACGAGCTCTGTATTGCATGAACAGTAAAAGACGAGGTCCACTCTTCGCTACTTACGCGGAGAGGGCATTTCTCATGCGGTATGGGCATCAGAAGGCCCTCGCAGAACCTGTAATGCTAGGGCATGCATCACAGACGTCGTGGGTCATGCAAAATCTACATGACAAACTCCTGCACCCTTCCAGACCCAGACATGACTGCATTTGATAGTTCCCGGAGAAGTATTCTGCTTGGCGCTGTTTTCTTCATCCCTGGTGCGCGGAACAGGGATATTGAAAGCAAAAATCCCCCCTCCCCATATCGAAAAGGAGATCTGTGATGCTGGATTTGCGTACAGATTTGTGACGCAGTAAAGAACTGCACGCAGATCGCAAGCCTAGAGAGGGGCCTTTTGGTGTAGGCGCCTAGCATGGTAGACGGCTGCCCTGTAGTCCTTACAGCATCACAAATCGCCTGCATAGTGTGGCAGAGACCCTGGATTTGTTTTCTAGCAAGATAGACAGGATTTGTGGTCACAAATCTGCATCACAAATTTTCAGAAGATACGTTTTCGATATAATGGGGAGGGGGTTTTTTTCCTTTCAATAAGGGACATCATCCGATCGTGATCTCTGCTGCTCGCCCTCGTCACAAAGATGTTGTAGTACTATCCTGTGCAAAAATATACCCTTCACCCCAGATGGTGCGCCATGCAGATTTTTATTTCCACGAACATGTGCTCTACTTCTCATGCGACTCGTCACCAAAACAGGATATTTTTACATGATCGACGTGTAGTTTCGCAAATTGTAAATTGTAAAATGCTGCGGTCAGCACAACTACCATCCGACCCCCTACTCTGGTGCAATGCGGTTTTCCTTGCCAATCACCAGCAGTCTCAAGACCGAAACTTGTCATGCGGGATTCGCAAAAGAATTTGTATTTGATCTGTGTAGCAGAGCTCCCATCTACCAGGAAATAAGTTTGGGTGGCGGGTAAGTTTTCACACTAGATATTGCTAGACTGGATACTAAGGTGAGCTGTCGCCGCGCCTCCTGGTTTCATCTGGCGGCCGGAGTTGTTGTTTTGTTCCTGGTGGATCACGCGCACGAACTCGTCCCAGTTGGTAAATGAAACAGCTTCTTGTCTTCGTTCGGAGGACACTAGTAGTTTCGCTGTGTGATAATCTCCATCTGCATCTCCATCGGAGGACGACGACCCGCGTGCAGTACTAGAGGATGCTGATGCGTCGTTCTGCTGCCGGTTTCGAAGAATCAAAGGAAGGATGAATTTGTTGAAGTCGGCTTCCCGTAGGGTGGCGGTGGTGCTCTGGCCGGAAACATCCTCCCTGTGGGCAGAGCCGTCTGCAGCCTGCCGGTGCGTTTCGTCTAAACCTTGTTGTACCTCTTGCATATCCACCATCTCGCTCTCCTGCTGTTCTTCGCACGGGTGCGGAGGAGAAAATCCTAAACTCAGGTCAAGTTCTTGGATGGCCATTTTGACTACCACACGATCGAAATGCGACGAAAGGTGTGCAACAAGCTCTGCTCAACACACAATAGTGGAAGCGACTGCGTTCTGGTATCTTCGCACCTGGACGTTCGTTCATCCCCTGGCGCCGAAGCCGCACTGCATTTGGGATTGGGACTCTTTTGGTAAATGTTTTTTATCGTGTTATCTTTCTTATAGCTAGGAAAAGATAAAGAGAGTTGCAAAAAACGTAACTTCCACCACAATCTAGTATCGAAATCGGGGTTAATTGTTCTTGTTAGTTGTCGCAAAGGTGTAGAAAGAACTGTCGCACTTCGTTATGTATTCCCTTTCTAAAAGTCAAGTAGAAGAACAATGATTTCGAATCATATCGAGAATTTGTACGCCGAAATACGACCCCCTCTCTCTCGCAACCGTTTCGTTCGGACGTCAACCACGAAGAATTAGATGAAGTTGCACCCCTCTAGCAATAAGCCAATCGCTCCAAGTCGACGTTGAGGTGAATCGAAATGCAGATGCAATCAACACAACTACGACTACCATGCTCAGCAACATCAAAAGTTAATATCTAAACTTGTACTATGTGTACCACCTAAAGAGCCTGCACTACAGAGAAAAAAAAGTCCGACAAATTATCCCACCCTAGAATGATCGTTTGAAGAAGTATTAACTTCGACGTAGTATTAAGTTGTAGAGTATTTGTCCCCTGGCCCTGGAAAGATGAACGTATCATACGACGCCCTGCAGCTACAACTCTCCCAGGACTCAAAAACCCGAACAGATACAGAGGTGCTGTTCAAAAGTAATAAAACTGAGGGTAATAAAATGCCGAACTGCAACATTTCTGCTCGAACAGAGTGGGGATATAGGAAAAAAACGACTTTGGGATGCTTTCCACGATATGCATTGCAAAAGTATCGTATTCGTATAAGTGCAATACAAATTTCTGCAGCATGAGAAATAAAATTTGTAATGCAGATTTAGCTTAAGAAAGGGATTTGTAATGCATGATTGCAATACGAGTACGATACTTTTGCACAGGATACACGACGACAAGGAACAAACACAGAATCTTCGACACGAGGACCACAGGGGCGTCTTCATTTACCTGAGAGTGGCAAAAGTGAAGGGAGCGAGGAAGCTTGCGCCTTTTGCATCACAAGTTTGGCAAAGATTGTAGTTCTATCTATTGCGTCGAGAACTTGTCATGCGAAGCAGCTTTATCGTGTAGATACTTGTCTTTGTACAACAATTGCGCATGACAAATTCCTGTATATAGTTGAGAATGTAACGTCTGAGAACAGCATATAGGTCCGACGGCCACTCCCGTTCTTTAGCACAAGTGTACCTGTCGTATTCCCACATCGTTCTTGAGCCCGCGTGTTATGGTGGCACGACGGGCATGCTTGGGCAAACCGGAAGAAGCACGCTGACTTCCTTTGGCCTCTTCAAACCTGTGGGCCCACACCCCTGGGCCGCGCGAGACGCCAAAAGACGCCTCCCTGCCCCCGCCGTAGTCTACCGGGGCCGCGCCGGCGCTACAATGTTTTCGAACAGCGCCACAAGAGCGCCTTTGGGCGCAATACAAAAAGCACCAACCCCGCCCGCCCCCCGCCCCCTGCTCCTTCACTGCAGGTGACACAAAAAGCGCGCAAGCCTTTCAATAGCATTCCATGTCTGTGGTCTTGGTTTTCTTTCAGCGTTCTGCTGTTCAAAAAAATCGCAGTAAGTCGCGGTCAGCTCAAGTACAAGTTTTTGTCGCAGCAGTCGTTTTGTCACAGCCCTGAGCCCCAACAGCGTGGAGGTTGTGGTGTGTCATGCTGGCCGCGAGAATCCGAATTCACGTCTTCTTCAAATTTGTCATGCTAATTGCAAACGTTTTCGCAAAGTGTTCTAGAACAGTCAAAAGTGAGTAATATCAGTTTGGATGTGTTTGTAGTTAAAGTGTAAATATAAGTGTCCGAGTTGAGTGCCACGCCCTCAACATCATCCCCGCAGTCGTCTACTCGACCTCCTCCACCACGTGCGGCTTCTTCTGTTTCTGTTCCTCCAACCACTTCTGGAACGCGTCAAGGCCAGCACAATGGTACGCGGTCAGGCGCCGGCGCTGACGGCGGAGCAGTTCCGCCGCGTTTTCGACGCCCTGCCGACGCCCCACGACTTGGTGTGGTTGCTTTCGTTTGCCCTGATGGCACCGGCGGCCGAGGTTTTGCAGCTACGGCGGGAGGACTTCGAGAGCCACCCGGGGCGCGTGCGGCTTGTGGGGCTGTCCGGAACAAAGAAAAAACCGCGCGTCGTTCCCCTCCGCGGGGAGGTGGCGCGGCTCGTCCAACTTGCTCTGGATGGGGAGTACCAATACAAGAACACCACATACCGGAAGGCGTTGCGCTTCCGGTTCGGCGCGGGGCGCGCAATTCCCCTCCAGCCGCAGTCGTACCGGAACACGCTCGCGGCGGTACAGGCGGGCGCCCCGGCAGACTGCGTGGTCGCGACCTCACACAGCGCAAAGCGAACGGGAATGACCCTGGCGGAGCGTGCCGGCCATCAGGTATGCTTTTGATGTTTTGCAATGCTGCAACGCCCCGCCCCGCGGAAGCCGGGGCCCAGCGCGGCGGGCCCGGCCTAGTCCCCCGGTGGGGCCCCGGGGCCACGCCGGGGCGCGAGAAATTCAAAGGGAAAAGTGAAAAGATTTTACGCTGCGACAGAACAAGAAATGAGAACCGGGATCGCTTTGGCAAAAATGGAATGGATTTCGAACGCGCACCATCTCGGAATTCCTTCAAGTTGTTCTTTCATATAAGCGTATCTTTGAACTGGAACAAGACTGCAGAGCGGAGAGCAGAGACGTTTCGGCTAGTACGTTCACAGGCGTCATGATCAAGTACGAGACACATGCAAGCGGCAGTGGATGGTGGGGCGGGCTCCGCAGAGGGGAAATGCAAAATGGTTGAGACCCACACAAATCAACTATATTCCCCGGGAGCCCCGGGCCGGGGGGTGTTCGATTTTTGATGAACTTCCGCGATTTTCCTTGTCTAACGCTCCCGTTCTTTAGCACAAGTGTACCTGTCGTATTCCCACATAAGCAATTAAGTAAGACAGAGCAGTAAGTATATTGCTTACGAATAACAGTGAGTGCGCAGTGAGTTTCTAGCTTCAGCACGGACATCAAGTGAAGAGTCGCCACCACACAGAAACTACAACTACACGTTGTCAGTTTCACAGAACAACTGAAGTCAGCTTTCGAAGGAATAACTTAGAAAGATCTTCACACTGCTTAAGTACAAACAGAATCTAGTAGGTACAAAAACTTGTAGTTGCAGTGGCGGACAGAGGAACTATGCAGCCGAGCCAGAACAACGCCGGCGGAAGCAATACCCGCGGGAACGGTGCGGGAGCCGGCATGCAGCCGCCGGGGATGATGGCACACCCGATCGGGTTGTCCAAGAACACAACTGCTGGTGTGCCCGCCGGGTATGGCGGCTTGGGCTTGTCGGCCCCAAGTTTCTGGCAACTGGGTCTTATCGAAATGAAAAAGAACTCGCTTTCCGATTTCATTGTCCTTCGTCACGTTTTGCAGCGTTATCTTCCACCACTTGTTCCTTTTCGAATCATTTGTCGTGCTGGCGGCCGTAGTGGTAGTTTGCAACGGAGGTTCTCTGAAATCGCAAAGTTGTAGATGTCTTTTTCATCTCGATATCACAGTCCGGCAACCCCCGGTTCACGAAGCCGGGTACCCCGTACTACGGCGGTTTGGTGCAGCCGAACAATAACACCGGACCGGTGCAGAGTACCCGACCGAAACCAAAGCCGAAAATGCAGTTAACGTCGACGAACCCGAACCATCCTGCCGTGCAGCGCTTAGAAACGTCGGTTGCCACATCGTCGACTACGTCCTCCGACGTGCTTCCCCCGCCAGCCCGCGGTGAAACGGTGTCGAAGGCGAACGGGGTGCTGCCGCCACCACAGAAACAGCACGCGACCAACAAGGTTTCTTCGGTATAGTATAAGTACATCGATACGTCCACGTTATTGTATAGCGTTTTATCTCGGATTGTGATGCAAAGCAAGGTCAAGCTAGCTTCCAGGAAACAAAACCATAGCCATTTGAACAACAGAAGTAGAAAATGTATTCCCGCGAAATTCATTGCAGAGCCAGACTATAGCACAAAATGAAAATCCTGGATTATCAGGTAAGTGTCCAAATCCAAATGCAACCGTAGGTACCGGAGGTCAGCATGGACGTACCCATGCCAGACGTAGCTGCGAATCCGGTTGCTAGTATCGCCAAGGGGGCGCCCGTCGTTTTGGACCAACATATCATTCCTGCTAGCCCGGCGTCATCAGGTCCGGCCAATGATTCCCTTGCGGCGTCATCAGGACCGGCCCAGAGCGCGCCGGCGAGGATAGTTCCCTTGGCCAACAAGGCCACGCCGAAGGTAGGTTCCTAAATGTCTGGACGAAACGCATATTGATTTATAAATTGTACGAGCCGCACATGATGAGCAAAGGTAGTTGAATCGACGCGCTTTGCATTCTGTTTCGTGAAAGAACTGCTGGGAACACTGTCTCCCAATTCTCAGGTTGTGGTGCGCCCGGCAGGTGCGGGTGTTGGTCACGGTGAAGTCCCCGCCTATGCCCAATTCAACGTCCGGGCCGTGAATGGAAGTCAGGTACAATTGCGCCTCCACTGGTACTCATGTGGCCTTGGTCAGCATGTACTTGACAAAAACTAAGATTATGTTTACAAGTGTACCTGTCGTATTCCCACATCTGTCAAAACGAAAAATCCCCCACGACCCGCCCATAGTCAAAACGAAATTTGTGACTCTAGATTTGTGCGCATGGATGTTGTCTTGCAGGAAGGAACTGCAACCAGGTAGTTTTTGTTTTGTTTGGTTGTAGCAATAGGATTTTGTTGCTTAGGGCTGTAAACTTTTTTTATTTTGTAGGTTGGAGAGCATGAGCACGAGCTTGCATATAACTAACGCGGCTCATGCCTCTGCCTCCTTGCAAGACTTTGGCCACAAATCTGCACTGCCGCGTCGCATGCTTACTTATTTCCTTTTGACCATGGGGGGTGCGGGTTTGTTTTTCCTCACCATAGTACCGCGCCGCCCCAATTGGGGGATAATACCCCGATATGATTTTCAGCTCTGCAGCCATGTTCTGATGAATGTGAATCGATTAAGGTTTATTTTGTCGCTTCTTTTTCTTTATTATTATTAGTAGTGCATCAATAGGGAACAATAGACAATCAGAAATATCGGCCTAGGGGTTTTAAAAATTGCGGTCAACGGAGAAAATAAAGATCTCTGTTTATTTCTGAAACAACTTCTACAACTGCGGGAAGAAATCCACGTAAACTTATAGATCGCTGAAAAAAATCGAGATCGAGATCGAGGTCGAACCAACTACATCAGTTTCACATCACATAGTCCAACAGCAAAAATCCTGAAACGGTTGTGCTCGAAGCAATCACCACCAGCGAAATCGTCATCGAAAAAAGCGGCATACGACGAGCGGCTCTTGTTTCTCTTGTATCGATATTACATCAACTACTCGGTCGATAGCTACATCCCTTCTGTGTGCACAAATCAATCTTCGAGATGAAATAGACATTTTCAACGACGAGGGAGATCATCATCGAAACCGCACCAGGGAACAAACACAGAATCTTCGACTCGAGGACCACGGGGGCCCCGATCCGGCTGCTGCCTTGTAGCACTGTTCGCATGACAAATTCTGGAAGCGAGAACAGCACTACAATCCGTGCATAAACTTGTCATGCACAGTATACACGTGTGCTGTTGTGTGTATTGCTGCTGATGCTATACGAATGAGGAACAGGGAACAAACACAGAATCTTCGACACGAGGACCACGGGGGCGTCTTCAACCATCTGTTGCAGTCATGCATTACAAATCTTTGTTTTATGGTAAATCCGCATTACAAATTTTATCTCTCATGCTGAGGAAATTTGTAATGCATTTATACAACGAGAAAAAAAAACAATTATGGAGTTTGATGTCAGTTCTTTTTGCACAAAAATCTTCAATAGAGCGGACTACAACTAGAAGTTCAACTTCTCGTCGTGGCCACTTCTTCGGTCACTACTTGTAGTTCTAGCGTTGTGCTACAGTAAGAAATGCTGTAGGCCGCGTGAAGAAAAAAAAACTGTTGTATCATCCCAGTTCTTCCAACGGGGCGTTCTTCTATATACAACTTGAGTTCAACGCAGTCTTTTATCCATCACACGACCAAGCCATGATCTTCGTATAGCGGTTGTAGTAGCAGTTGTAGTAGTGTTGTGAAGATTCCAAGTACTAGCAATTATGGGAGACAAAGAGGAGAGAAGGGGGAATCAACTCTCTCTGTCGCCTCGTTTTTTACTATGATCTTGGTAGCAGTTGTAGTAGCAGTGGTAGTAGTGTTGTGAAGATTCCAAGTAGTAGCAATTACGCGGGACGAGGAGAGAAGGGGGAATCAACTCTCTCTCACCTCGTTTTTTACTCTTTCGCAGCACGAACTGTGTTTTCATTGCGCGTTTTGGTTCTTTTGGGTGGAGATTCTTCATGGTCTAGTGAGTTGTTTGAAGCAGAAAGCAAATATTTTTCTTTGCAGTTGTGTGTAATTTTGATTTTTAGTCATCATACAAGAGTAGCACAGGTCGACGCAAATACAGTCGCTCACGACAACATCAGTGGCTGTTCTTCTTGCGCCGGCATCACGTGCTTGTGAAATTGGTCTTCGCGCTGTAGCGACACATGATGCATAAAATTTTGTAGCTGTACCGGGACTCCCGGCGCTACAACTTTTTGTATAGGTCCCAGTGGTCCGGGACCGGAAGCCTAATCTACTTTTAGTTTCTTCATTTATCATACAAGAATGGTAAGTCTAAGCCTAAGTTCAACAACATAAATGACGGAAAGGAAATTTTGTTTTCTTCCTGGTGTGTTTGTTTTTAATCATCATACAGGAGTTCTTCATTTATCATACAAGTAGAATGGTTGTGAGTGGAAAGTAAATTTTGTTTTCTTCCTGGTGTGTTTGTTTTTGATCATCATACAGGAGTTGGTTCTTCATTTATCATACAAGTAAAAGCTGCACGCTTCCAGAAGACTGTGGATAGTGGCATCAGTATAAAATTGCCCACTACAGTGACTGTTTTTACTGCATCAGCTGCTGTGGGGGGGCCGGCTGATGATATACCACTCACTGCTCATGCAGTCTTTGCTGCTGAAGCTGCGCGGCATGCTGCCCGATGAGCCCGCGCCTCTGCCAGCACGCCCTGCAAAGCTCACTAGATCCCCTGCAGCATTCGGGCAAACTCCAGATACACACACTGCAGAACAGAATGCAACAATTCTCAAAGTATGAATTGCAAATATGATTCGGTCTGGAACACTGCGTCTTGATCTTGTTGTCACGTTAGGTCTGGCTCGTGCAAAATTCATCTGTGTTGCATGGTTACCAAAGGTTGTCCAATTTTGACCACAGACATTGTTTCTACGCGACAGTTTCTCACGCGGGATAGGCATGAGAGAGATCTCGGCCCCACGCACATTTGTCCACCTGCTAGGTCATTCGCCCAAAGCTCATGGGTGGTCATGGAAATAAACCTGCATGACAAATCTTGCACTACGCCTACTCCAGACCCAGACATATTTGCATTTCATAGGGCGAGATTCTCTTTTCCCAATTCTTGAGCAGACGAAGGAGCGAATGGGCGTCCAATAAAATGCACGCAAGCGAGAACGCAGGCCGCGCCAGCAAAGCGAGCGCTCCGCCAACAAAGAGCGCCGATGCATTATGGGGCTGCCAAACGTTAGTACATTCTCAACTGTTGTAAAGCAAGAATGGCAAAAGTCAAAGGGGGGAGGTTGCACCTGTAGCATTACAAATTTCGCACATCGGAGGACGATGATGGGAGTTTTGCATGACAAATTCATTGTAACAGTTGAGAATGTAACATTTGAGAACCTCATATGCGTGCCCAGGCGGCGTGCACTCGTGTATCTGCGTCTTGGATCTGTCCCTCCAAAGCAGCCACTCTTGGAGCTCTTCCGCCCAGACGCTGAAACACCTCCGTGTTGGCGCATTCTTCGACCAGCCGGCTTACACCCCTGCAGGCTAGCAACGACTGCTTGTCCAGCCAACCACTTCCACAAGTCCTGTATGACAGTGCACAACCCCCCCTCCCCCTCATTTGTCATGCAAAATCTCAAATCCAGTTGATCCCTTGTATTACTATTATGCATGACAAATTCTGCTAGCCAAAACAGCACTACTTACAACCCGTCCATAAACTTGTCATGCACAGCATACATCACGTGATGTGCTGTTGTTTGTATTGCTGTCGATGCTATACAAATGAGGGGAACGAGGGGGGGTTGTGCACTCTCATATCCTGGTCCAGAACTCCCAAAGCCCGTCCTGGCCCAGCACAACTTTCAAACCCTCGTCCTGGTGTGCTTCGTTCGTTAGTGCAGCCGTGTCAAGAATCTGGGCCGGAGGAGGAGGTGCGACCACGCTGGACTGTCGGCTCGAGGAGCCTTGAAGATCCGGATTCTGCGAACTCTCGTTGGGTCGAGGACCGCCCGCGCTTTCCCTCCTGCGGTCGGGCGAGGACGAGGACGAGGACGAGGACGACGCGCGGCTGGGCGAAGTAAAGTTCCGGCGTCTACGCCGGAGGGCCGCGCCAGCACCTGCACCCGGCATGGGACGTCGACTCTCGCTCCCCCGCGCTGCCCCCGACGATAGAAGTGCTTGAAGCTGGAGTGCGTGCGCAACAGGTGGCCCGACGAGGACGGATAAAGAAAACCCTGCCGCAACTGCCATCGCCAGCAACGCATAGCGCAGTCGAGCCTGGTAGGAACAACGACGGGCCGAGGAGCTAGTACGGGACGAGAGCATCATCTGCATGATCTTGGGTAGTGCGACAACTAGTATACAAATACTTGTCAGGTGGACGAAAGTTGAAGTTTGGCTTTAGAGGTTTTGTGTGCAAGATTATAGAAGATGTCGTCTGAGTTCTGCAGGACGATGTATCCTGAAATCTATAGTTCTTTTTTCTGCGATAATAATGATTTTTGTCCTCTTCAGGATAATAATTGGTCTGGATTTTTGGTATAGTCTTTGTCTTTCACGACCCTGCTTATTGTTCGCTTGAAAGAGGAGAGAACTGAATCCGTACTGCTGCTCGCTCATGTCTTTTTTGAAGATGATCCTGTCGATTTTTTGATCTTTTTGATGTGGTGAGCAACTTGATCAGGACCACGTGGACGTGGACGTATAACTTAAATTTCAATACGTCGCCGATGTTTTCTTGTTCCTTTTCTTCATCATCAGCATGGCAGGGGGCAGCTGGAAGTGGTAAACAGCATGACAAATTGCCTGCAAGAACCGAGGCCACAGCTGCGTCTCTTGGCCTTCCAGCATTACAAGTCGACTTGTGTACTCAAATACAGCATCACAAATTTCGTTTTCGATATGGGGAGGGGGGATTTTTCCTTTTGATAGGAGGCCCTCATCGTCCTCAAAATCGGAGGACATGTCATCACGACAACTTCCACCAGAGTTC